GGTTCTTGTGGGGGAGACAAGCGTGTTCTGAGCGTGTTCTGGATGGGAGGGAGTCACAATCACTGCTCATGGACATGGGTTCTTGTGAGGGAGACAAGCGTGTTCTGAGTGTGTTCTGGATGGGAGGGAGTCACAATCACTGCTCATGGACATGGGTTTTTGTGAGGGAGACAAGCATATTCTGAGTGTGTTCTGGATGGGAGGGAGTTGCAGTCACTGCTCGTGGACATGGGTTCTTGTGAGGGAGACAAGCGTGTTCTGAGCGTGTTTTGGATGGGGAAGGAGGCATAGTCACTGCTCGTGGACACGGATTCTTGTGGGGAAGACAAGTGTGTTCTGAGCGTGTTCTGGATGGGAAGGATGCACAGTCACTGCTCGTGGACATGGATTCTTGTGGAGGAGACAAGCATGTTCTGAGCGTGTTCTGGATGGGGAAGGAGGCATAGTCACTGCTCGTGAACATGGGTTCTTGTGGGGGAGACAAGCGTGTTCTGAGTGTTCTGGATGGGAGGGAGGCATAGTCACTGCTCGTGGACACGGGTTCTTGTGGTGGAGACAAGCGTGTTCTGAGCGTGTTCTGGATGGGGAAGGAGGCATAGTCACTGCTCGTGAACATGGGTTCTTGTGGGGGAGACAAGTGTGTTCTGAGTGTTCTGGATGGGAGGGAGGCGCAGTCACTGCTCGTGGACACAGGTTCTCATTGGGAGAGGAGTATCTGAGAGCCAGATGGAGGTGAGGGGTGGATGGCCCCTGGATGGACTGACCATGGAACCGTGCCCTATACTCATGAGACGTGGTGACTGCTGTAGGAATCACATCTCCATGGAAACAGGGGTGGGAGGACCTACGCCCCGAGGCTGTTGTGAAGATGGCCGTAAGGGCTGCACTGGTGCCCTGGGCAGTGCCAGCCGCTGGCTTTGCTGGGTGAATGGGAGCCATGGGCATCACCCTCACCACATAGAGCAGCTCCTCCTGCAGACTTGGGGACTCTGTGGCAACCATGCCTCACAGTGCCATCTGCTGCCTCCATGCCCACCTGTACTGTCCTGAACAACATGGCTGTGGGAGCAGAGATGCCTCCCAAACTCCACAAAGGCAGAGGAGGATTCCAGTAGACTGGGTCCCCTCAGCAGAGCCTCAGACGGCCAGTTACGGGCCACTTTCCATTCTGCTTCCCAAACCTTTTAGTGGAAGGAATTCAGTATGCAGCAGAAAATGTGCCTGAAACAAGGGCACGGTAAAGTGGCCGCTCCTCTGCTACCTTCCTTCGGGCAGGTGACCCTTACTGCTCCACTGTGGCATTTACCATCCAACATCACTGTGTTGTTCCCGGGCCTTGGTGGGCATGGAGATGGGGTCACCAAGGTGCCACCCACATCAGTGTGAGTGGAGGTGCGGTCACCCCGTTGCTCTCTGGCGTTGGTGTGAGTGGAGGTGGGGTCA